AGAATGCTTTCAGGGATGATGCAATGAGTGCAGCACAAATGAAAGTGTGGCACAAATGTTTCCAAGATGGTCGAGAATCTGTTGAAAGTGATCCATGTTCTGCAAGGCCTGCAACAAGCAGAACACCTGGGAATGCTGAACACGTAAAGGTATAGGTTAAGAGATGCTGGGAGAACCGTGTGATAGCCCGAGGTGCCTACTTTGAACAGCATTGAGTCATCATTGTCCTATGTTTCTTGTATCTTGTATCATCTTCAATAAATGTCTCTATTTTTCATATTACATAGCTGGATACTTTCTAGACAGACATCATGTCTATGTGTGTGTATACACACACATATACATATACATAATGTAATACTATTCAGCCTTAAAAAAGAGGTAAATTCTGTTATTTGTGACAACATGGATCAACCTAAAGGATATTATGTTAAGTGAAATAAGCCAACCACAAAACGACAAAAACTGCATGTTTTCACTTATATCTAGAATCTAAAACAATTGAATTCACAGAAACAGAAAGTAGGATGGTAATTACCAAAGGCTAGGGCTAGGGAGAATTGGGAGATATTGGTCAAAGGGTAGAAAGTTGCAATTAGACAGGAGGAATAAATGATAAATATTTAAGTTGGCAGATATTTTAATTAGTATGTTTCAATTATTCCACACTGTATACATATATCATAATATCACTGTGTTCCCTATAATTATATATTATTATAATTTGTCAAAAAACAAAAGTAAATTTAAAAAAGAAAATTAGATTTTCAAAAAGATCACTCTGTTAGGTCTGAGTGGGTGGACTAGGTTTAAGAGAATCAGGCAGGACAGAAGCAGTTTGGGGACTATTACAGGAGTCCAGGCAAAGTTAGTGAGAACCTAAACTAGAACTATGGCAGAAGAAGTCAGAGGAGGAGCCTAGTTTGGAAAATTTCCCTAAGAAAGAGAACACAGGAGTTGTAATTGGTTATATATGGCAGCAAGCATTTGAGGTGATATGCACAAAGTCATTATGCTAGGGAGCAACAAGAGAGAAGGAGCAAGGGTTCATGGATGACCCCTTGAAGCAGAGGCTCCAACCAGCCCTAGAATGGATGGACTACGTACCTACCTCTGGCCCAGTCATTCTGAAAGTATAGCATCAGAATCACCTGGAGGGCTTGGTGAGCCTCTCATTCAGTAGGTGTGGATTTTGAATTTCTAATAAGTTCCCAGGCAATGCCAATGTTGCTCCTCTGGGGAACCACATTTTGAGAACCACTGTTTGAGACTAAGTAATTATGTATATTAGAGAGAAATATAAGTTATTTTGTTTAATCCACTATTACTGTGGTCTCCTTCCACACAGCTGAACCTACCAAAATGATAAGAAAGAGAGAAGCCTGGGAGATATGGTGTGCTCTCATGGGAGTGCGTGGACAACATCTCCCTAATGATCTTTATGGGCTTTATTCTGGAGTGGCCTTTGAGCCTGTAGTCTGCGATGGTGGGCTCACTCCAGATCTACTTATGTAATATTTCTTGAATGTAGCTAAAAAATTCCTACAAGGTTACTCTTGGGGAGTAGGAGAATAGTAGACCTATAACTAACTGGTAGGTCAGGAAGTGGAGCTAATTTAGAGAAAACCGTGGAATACTTTCTGCAGAATGCTAGTTTTGCAGCACATTAATAGGTGCTATTTGCAAAAAAAAAAAGTTTCCCGGGGTAAATGAGCTTTTTTTCAATGATGGATGAAGTGAAGGTAACATTTTTCTTTATTTCGAGAGAACTATGAATCTGTAGTATTTTGCCCTAAGAATCTCTGAATGGGGATTATATAATGAAGCACCCAGCCACCACCACCCCTTTGTTCTAAAACCAGGGAATCTCAAGGGGTAAGTGTTGTGTTACATCCACCTCAGGAAATGCTGCCTTTAAGAAACAGGCTTAGAAAGTTAAATTGGTGGCTCCCAAACAGCTGTAGTATACAGACTGGCCCATGGCAAAGTCATTATGAATCGACAGCAATATAGAAAGCATGAGGGCAATGTAGTAATTTACTGAGCTGATCTTTTCCATTTTAAGAGTTATCTTCATTTTGAAGTGATGTGCTTCTTATGCTTTTAGTGTTAAAATTTTCCTTTTCAGTGAGATAATGGTGATGGGAGAGATGATCTGTTCTCGAATATTCTTATATATGTTTTAAAGTGAAAGTTGGCATCTGTACACCAGTCCTTTTCACATTAGCTTAATTGTGTTGTTCTGTTCGATACGTAGATATCATCAAGTCCAAACCCAACATTTATAGATGAAGAAAATGAAATCCTGAGGCTGTCCCAAAGAAAATGATAATAACACAGTCATTACCATTTGTGTAAACTCCATGTGTATTAGAAAAGGCCATTCCACACTCAAGGGCTTCATGGCACGTATTTGGGCACTTCAGTGCCTTTCATAACATCAATTATAATTGGAGGTTGAAAGGTTTATGCTGTTCCAAGCAAAGCATAAAATGTCTCTTGAATTGTTGGAAAATTAGGACCAGCAAAATGCCATGTGTCCATTTCAGTATTTTGGTTCTAGGCAAATTCAAGACAGTATGTGATTGATTATGATTAATTGTATTTACTTATGTAGTTCTCTTCCTAGATATTTCCATCTGAACTGAGAAGGGGTAAAAATTAAGCAGACGCCTGGGAATTATTAGTTAAGCTGATCGTTAAAAATTTCCATTCATGTTTCCGATCACCCCCATATATAAAAAATCCTAAAGCTAGTTCATTTTTCTGCATAAAATTGTCTTCACCTGAAAAAATGAAAAGGTTGGACTAAATTTTTAAGTCCTTTTAGCTATACATTTCAAGGATTCTACCACTTACGTAAACAGTAAATGAGGGCCATATTCATTGGAGTCTAAAATGTCTCCCTTTTTTAGTGATTTAGAGATTATCAAGGCAAAATAATGCTAAGGCAGATCAGATGTCTATTTAGAAATCATAAAGAAGGAAAAACATATGCAAATAATAAAGTTACACTTATATATTAAATGCTATTCTTAAATTTAAATATTTATTCAGTATGTACTCTGAGATGGGCTAGCAACTTAAAACATCTTTCCACTTAAAGCTTGGCACTACTTGGCACAGCCCAAGGTCACCTTCTATATGTTTCCAAGTCTTTGTTTCTCAAAATGTGGTCTTTAGGCCACCTAGTCGCAGCTGCCTGGAAGTTCATTGAAAACAAACAACCCTGGGTGCGAACCCACTGGAGATTCAGGGTTCCTAGATCGAGGCTAGAGATCAGGAATCTGTAGTTTTAATAAACTCCGCAAAGGGATCTCTTGCACACTTAAATTTAAATACCTCTTCCCTCCAGATTTAAATTATTGTGCCGGGTACTTCCAGATACTCAAACAGTAATAATAGAAGAAAGTCAGAGATAAGATCCAAGTACAGGGGGTAACATCACTGGCAGTCTCTCCTCTCCCTTCATTGTAGACAGTGGCAAGGAACTAGCTGTTTCCCTGCTTCACCCCTCATCTTTTCTGAAAGGTAAACAAACTTTCCACTTAGAGAAGCCTCTTCCTGAAAAAGTAGTTTCAACGATAATGGCCGGGGATGAAATAGAAGTTGGAAATTTATTGGGGGAAAGATTTGCCTTAATTTTTTTTTCTCAAAAACATATATGGAGTTTGATGAAACTAAGGTGATTCCAGTGTTCACCGTATAAACCATCCAGATGAATTTAGAGATCATAATGTGAGTCCATTTCCAACGAAGGTAAAGAGGTAGTACACGCATGGTAGCTCAATACAACTTAAAACACACATTTGATTTCCAATAAATAGAAGAATTTTAATATACTTTCAGAGCTTGTTCTTTCTATTTTCTTCTATTTTTGAACTTACCTGTATTCTTTAATGTTGATTTCCTTCTTCTTTTTCTTTTAAAATCCAGTCCACTAATGCCTACAAAGCTCTCTTTCTGCCCCAAGGCTAAGAACGTTCTAGGTGAACTAATCAATCAATTTTTCCCCATTAAGAAAGAGCACTCAAATAAAAAGAATCCTAACCTTTTGATGGATTTTGTAGCTGTTTGCTACTTTTTTTTTTAATGGCAAAACACCAAGAGGAGAAGCAGTCTTACATCTTAAAAAGAGGAAAAGCTCCCAGGTCCCAGGAAATTGTGTAGCACTGGGGGAAAAGGAAATTTTTTTCAAATCCTGGAGTATTGACCAACTGTAGCAGTGTTATTTTTAGTTAAATCTTTCCAGCCCAAGTTAAAACATATGCATACTTTAAATGTAAATTATATGCTTCTGCACAACAAACTAGGGACAAGACATGGTGTTTGGCTTAACTGAACACCTACCACAGCAATAGCTTTTGCACAATGTTGTTGAAAATATCTTCCTTCAATTTTTAGATGCTTAGAATTGATAGAGTAACTGATTTATTTTGTAGGACGTGAAACTTCCAACTTGTTATTTCCAGGTTCCGGTGTTATATGACTGAACTTGTTAGCTCTGTGTGCTCTTTCAGCCTAGCTATTAAATTAGTGTGTCCATGAAGAAAAATGAGATATGATGTTGCATTTCATGAAGCAGAGTGTCTCAGCACAAACAAATTTTTCTCTTATCTGTGGAGGGAGACAAAATAAGACATAGCTGACCAGAGATCTTCGAGTTGTCAAAAGTTAACAACAACAAAAAAAGATGTCACAACTACAGTGTTTAGACTACCATGGTGTTTTACTCAAGTCTATTGGTGGATGCTTTTTCTAAGCTGAACATATTCCTAACTAATAGTGGAATTAAATAGAGAAATCAGATTCTGGTTAGAATCCAACTTGGCCAAAACTATTCCATTACTTTAAGCAAGACATACATAGAATTAAAGAATGACAAGCTGATTTACTAAATAAATAGGCACACCACCACAGCTGTGTTCAATGTTCAATTAAGCATTGTGGTTTCAAAGGTCAGACGTAACAGAAAATTGACACATTTTTTCTTTTTCCAGGTCTTTGACCAGATAAGCTGACCATCTCCAAGGTAAGCAACATTATACTTTTGCCCAATTTACTGGCAAAATCCAGCATGATGTTATTGGCTTTGGATACATTGTACATCATGAGTTAGGCATTCAAATGGTGCCCTGAATTCGGTTTTTATTGGTGGTGTTAGCAATGAGAGCACCCTATGAATATGGTTTGACCAAGTGCTAGACTGAACCCCAGGGAGATAGAGTCCGTCTCTCTTTTCCCTGCTTGATTAGCCCTTTTGTGAGACAACAGACTCTTTGTCTCTGATGTTCAAAGACAAAAGAAGGTTTCTTTATGAGCAGCTGTGTCAGGGGCTTGCACCTCTACCAAAGCCTATTTTGGAAGAAGTAGAAGGCAGAGCGCTCCTCTGTGAAACCTTCCTTCCTTGGCTTTTTCCTGCCCACTTCCAGCAGGAGAGCAAAGTTGTTGAACTTTCCAGGAGTCCCTGTAAAAACTAGCAACGGAGGATGTGTTAATCATGTTAAAGAACACAATAGGAATCCTTTTTTTCATTTCATTAGAAAATCAGGACGCATTTGATGTGCACCATCTGGTTTGTGAATACAGGAATAAGTTTTTCAAAAGGGCACATTTCCAAGTTGTATGTTCACATGCTTCAGCAGGAAAAACCCATAAGCAGCTCTATTTTTAATGAGAGCAGTGCTGAAGCTAATAAGATTGGGGTGGCTTTCCAGTATGTGCCATTTCTCCTCGACTACATGTGCTCGCAACACGTTTGGCAGACTTGTCCTGTTTAGAGGCTGGGCTTCCAATTGAAAATTTTAAAATTCTCCATGTGTTAATTGGAAAATAGAAGAGAGGCATCATTGTAGTAGAGCATCTGGCTTCTTAGGTATTAATTATGGCTCTATCTACTCAGAAAGACTAGTATTTTAAAATTATCTCCTATTATTCACTGTGTTACTTTTATAAACGGTAAGTTTCCAAGTCACAGAAAAAGTCAAGTTAAATCTTACTATGCATTGTGTGCTTTTTAAACATGTCTTTTAGATGCAGTCACTGTTTATAAATAATAAGCAGTGACAACACAGTAATAAAATACCAGATTTACTATTGCTCCTCCCCCATGTTGAGTCCTTAAAATATATTTTTTATTTAAATAATAAGATAGCTCTAGATTGCTGTCATCTCACTCTGTAGTATGGCTCTAAATAGGAACGTCTTTGGATCAGAAAAGCTGCATTAAAGGAACAATTACTTCAGCTTTCTACATAATTTTTAAAATTCTGTACAGTAACAAACATGATTTGTGAGGCAATATAATGCTGTCCTTAACCTCTCAGTAATTGGAGGCATCTTTTGTATGTATTCCACAAGTCCAGCTCACGCTGATGAAGGAAGCATAATTACATTACAGGCAATCTCATCTAAGGTAATTACAATTGTCACCATCCATCCAATTAAACAGGATAACTAACTCTACTGAGTCAGAAACACCACAAAGCTTTCTGACTAAATCCAAGCTTTGGGATAAAGGTGTGATTAGGATTTTGAGAATGTTCATTTGCCAAAATACTGTTGCTTATAGAGATAGATAGCAATGTTGAGAGAGGGGGAGAGCAGGGGGAGATTGAATATTGGTAGACTTTCTTTTTTCCATTGACTGATCAATTTCTTAGTTCTAAGCACAGAAGTCAGTGTAGATTCTCAAAGCCAAAGCTTCAGACCCCACACATCTTTCTGCAAAGGTTAACACAGCATCAGAATGCCATAATGGTCTACTGGACCCATCTGGCTGGCACCTTGTCCTAAATCAGCCCTGGACCCCATTATTCCTTCAGAGACCTGTCATCTCGTTCCACTTGTGAAGATGCAATATACCATGTCCTGAACTCCGTCCCTGTCTTTGCAGGATGGGGGAAGTTGGCTCAAGTAACAGCACCGGCCCCACGCCTGAAGCTCTTGCCCTGGTTAGTGCAGGGTCAGTGTGGTAGGCAATGGGGAGCATCACTAAGAATTACAGAGGTCTAATACTAGTGGATAGGATGCACGTCTCAAAGAGCTCACCTCTGACTGTGTGATCCAGGCCAGAGAGTAAGCCTTGGATAACAGGACTCAGAGACTGAGAAGTGAGAATGATGTTGCTCACTGCAACTGAGATATATATAAAGGGCCTAAGTGAGATTATGTATGTACGCCCTCATTGGATAATATACTATGTGAAGATAACAGTGCTTTCTTTATGGTGCTTCATGAATGCAGAGATCCAGGAGATAAACTTCTTGGTGGGGGGCAGGCAGAGAGCGTTCGCTATTTGCTGTCTCTGGCCCCCTCAGTCCCCACTCAGCACCGTTTCCCAAAATCCTACAACCTGGCTTTCTGCTGTCTCCGAGACCTTCCACCCGTCTCCATGATTTTCATCTCTTATGTGTTTTATACTCTCCCTCAGCCACCTACACTCCTTGTCACTCTTGGATACCTCTTTTCGTTGGTCCTCTAGACACTTCCAACCCTGCTTTAGAACGTCCCTCTTCCAGGAAACCGATTCATCACAGAAGGGTAGGAGCAGGGCAGAGAAAAGAGCAGGTGGAAGGCGAGCTGAGCTCAGTTTCATATTCCACTGCTGACCAGCTCTGTGTCACTGAAGTAGCCGTCAAAGCTAGTGAGTCCCAGCTCCTCGTCTGTAAGGTGAAGAGGTTAATTAATGTCTGTCCTGCCAACCTCATTTTACTTAACCTCATTTTAAGTATCTAAAATGAAGTTATAAATGTGGAAAAAGTCCCTCATAATACATAAAATTCCATACAAATGTAAGAGAATATATATATATATATATATATAATAACTTTTATTATTATGCCCACTCTCCCCTGGCCGTTTCCTTCCATTGATTCCCCCAGCCTTGCAATTCAAATGGTACTTCTTAAAAAAAAAAAAAAAAAAAAAAAAAAGCCCTGCTTTTATCCCTTAGTTTATTGTTTTTGTACTTTCTGTTTCCTGTTGAGTGTCTAAGAAACCTGAAGGCTGGTACCCTGTTGCTTATTTCTTTTCTGTTTTTCCTAACATTTGATGTGTGCTCTGACTCCGTGTGATGGGATGATTTGTTGAGGCACTGCATAGTGTTTATTCTCTCTTTAGGTTTCCTCCCACCACTGTAAGCTTATGTCTCAGCTTGGTCTTGAAGAAAACATGCTGCAGTATCGGATAGTGAGCATGTAAAGGGCCAGGGTAGGAGCTGAATGCCGGAAGCCCTCCATGGTGCTTTCGGCAATGACTCAGACCGTGGTTTGTGGCTTGACCCTGGGAGATGGGAAGGAGGGATCCCCACAATAACTGAGGTTGGATTTCTGGTGTATCTGGGAGGATAGTGATCAGGAATCAAATTAATCTAATTTTTTTTAAAAAAAAATAAAGAAATGAGACATTTCCTGCACATTCAAGTTTGTGCACTAAAGCTTTACATAAAGAAAGTGCTCAACACATAATTGTTATTACAGAACATAATTGCTAAAAAGATTCTGGCATCCATCTGGTCAGATAACCTTAATTAAAAAATAGAGCCTAGGAAGTTTCGAGCTACTTAACTTCTTGGAAGCAGAGGGGATACCCTTTCCACTGCTTATTTAAAGACATCTAAACATGGATATGCCAATAACATCAATGGAAACAGTCCATTCCTGGGAGAAATAATCCAGGAAACATACTGAAACATGAAATTTTGTTAGATTGAATTAACTATTATGAATATTCCCAATTTGCATGAACATACAAAAAATATATTACACTTAAAATGTGGGGGTTTTTTTGTTTGAAATTCAGAGGGTAATTTGTTAGATTCCTTCTTTTTTAAAAACTCTGGGCTCCACCCATGGTGGACGTGATAACAGGGTCTTTGAAATGGAGTAGATACAAGGAATCATTCACTGCAATAATTATCTATTGCTGTGTAACAAATTGTCCTGAAATTTAGCGACTTAAAAAGCATAGTTTCTGAGGGTTGGAAATCTGGGAGCAGCTCTGTGTAAGGTCCCTGAGGAAGCAAATCTAAGGCATTAGTCCTGCAGTCACCTGAAGGCTTGACTAGGACTGAAGGATCCACGATGACGGCTCATTACCACTGCTGTGGGCAGGGGCCCCAGCTCCTCACTGCCTGTTCCAGGAGGCTCAGTTCCGTACACGTTGGCCTCTCCACAGCCTAATTGAGTGTCCTCAAGACATGGCATCTGACTTCTCCCGTGGTGAGTGATCTGAGAGAAAGAGAGAGAGTAAGAGAGAAGAAAAGGAACAAGCCAGAAGCCATGATGCTTTTGGCAATGACACCAGCCAATTCTCTGACACCAATGAGGTGTCCAACAATTCAATTCAATTCTGACAGTAACTCCCAGAGTTACCGCAAACCTTCCCACCCACCCCCGGGTTAGGGGCTCAGTCCCACAAGACTGCCCCTACTTCAGATGCCAACCCCAAATGGGGTGTCCAGGCCACCCTCCACCCCACTGACTCAGGTCCAGTAATTTGCTAAAATGACTCATCGAACTCAGGGAAGCGCTCTATTTACTATTACAGGTTTATCGTAAAGGATACAACTCAGGAACAGCCAAATGGAAGGAACGCCTAGATGGCATGGGGAAGGGGAGCTTCCATGCACTCTCCACATGGGCCACCTTCCCATCACCTCCATGTCTTCATCAACCTGGAAGCTCCCTGATCCCCATGCCCCCCTTTGTTTAGGAGCCTTAATGAAGATTTTACTAAGTAGGCATGAGTGATTAAAGTATTAGTCATTTGTGATTAACTCAATCTCCAACCCCTCTTGCCTTCCTGGAAGTTAGCAGGTAGAGTGGGAAGTTCCAAGCTTCTAATCAAGGCTTGGTCTTTCTGGTGACCAGCCCCCATCCTGGAGCTATGTAGGGGCTTGACAAGAGTTGCCTCATTAAAACATAAGATGCTCCTTTTACCCTTTTAAATGAACAGGGGGTTTAATTTGCATAGTAGTCACTGGGGGCCCAGTCAGAGCTGAGGCAGTGGGGGAATCTATAATCCCAGAGGGCACCCCCTTTCCTCCTGGAAGACCAGTCCTCACAACCCTTGGACAGAGCTCCCCAGGTTGTGCAGACAATTCTCCAGTTGAAAAGAAAGAGATTTGGGAACCAGGCTGTCCCTAAGTTGGGTAAAGTCTAAGGCCTTGGGTTGGTGGCCTACATGGTGGCCCAGGAGCATGAAAGACCAGGGGGCTCCCAGGGTTTTAGGAATTCCATGTCAGACACTGGGGACAAAGACCATGTATCTTTCTAATTATACTGCAGAGCCATAGTAACGTTTACAGCCCAGCCTCAAAAGTGACATGCCATCACTTCTGCTGTATTCTGTTGGTCACAAAGACCGACTCTGAGACAGCGTAGACGGGAACTACACAAGGACATGAACAGCAAGAGGCAGGAATCACTGGAAGCCATGCTGGAGGCTGGCTCCACATCTGCCATGATTTTTCATTCTTTATCCACAGATGTTTCAAGGAAATCTGGTGTCCACTTGAATGTGGTTTGAATACCATCAAAGTGTGATCTCTTGGTTAGATAATGACATAGTGTTCATTTATATTACTGTACTCTTGGTGGCTCTTGCCACCAAGAGTGAGCTGCTGAAATAAAAGCTTGCTGTGATCCTCACTGGAATTCTCAAGGGCTAGCAATGGGCGAGGTGTCCCACTCACACTTCTTCTTATGGCAGCCTCTAGCAATGGAAGGATCACTGTCCCAAACCACGGGACCTGGGCTGCAGCACTCTTTTTGCTGCTGAGTCATGCCATGACCTCAGTTTTCCCATCTCTAAATCCAAAAGTCAAGGGAGGTGATCTGCATGATGAGATGATCTTGTACTTGTTAGGTAATTGTGCTAAGGACCTCATCAGATGTCTTTTGGTGAAGGTGAAATCCAGGGCCTGGGAATATGTTTAGTGGATGGGAGAGGTGTAGGAACTTATGTTTCTTTCCTTTTTTTCTTTTTTTAAGAGTACATTGAAATCGTATGTGACTCCCACAGTCAGTTACCATACACTGTAATTGACCCTTAAAATGGTACCACTGGCATGAAATTTTGTGATTGACTTACGGTATGGTTAGATCACAGATCATCCAACTAACAAGCAGCCTTAGAAATTTCCTACTCAATTTATAGATAAAGAAACTGAGGCCCATCAAGGTTAAGAGGCTGTCCCAAAGTTACAAAGCAAGTTAATGGGAGCAGCATATTGTAAACCAGAACTCCTGAGTCCTTGTTCCTTTCTACCCACCTGCTACACCGAGTGGCTGGTGTGCTTCTCCTCCATCACTGTAAGAATACATCTGCTTATCTTTTATTTAAAACAAACAAACACACAGTTTGAGAACTAGGGCATTATTGGCTTCAAGGGAAGAGTGCCAATGTGTTTTAAGAAAATATTTTCATCAAACAGTACAGGCCTAATTAAGATGTAGTCCCCTGTTTTGTACATCTTGCAAATGAGCAGTCTCGTTCTTAGGAGAAGAAGTTGCTTTGGAAAACCATGAAACGTGGGCAATACTTACATTGTCGTCTGTGCCATGTTGGGTATTGATGAGGCATCGGAAAGGGTTCGCTGGCCTTTCTTTGGGGAGAGAGAAGCTGGTGGTAGATGAGTGATGATTCTGCAGACAAGCAAAAGGCCCAGGGAAGAGATGCCAGGAGTGTGCTGGGTTTCTGCCAAACATTTCTCTGGCCACTTTGTTTTCCTGTCATTTCTCTTTGTCTTATCTTATCACTTTGCAGGGCTCTTTGCACTGTCTGTTATAACCGAGGTCATAATTTGACCTCATAAAGTATAGTATATACTCTACCTTCAAGATTATTTAAAAGTTTTTCAGCTAATAGGTAAACAATGACTGTTCTTTTTGCAGTGAAGATAATGCTATTATGGAGTGGCTTATTTGTGTGCCAAACGGGAGTAGACTTGGATTTTCTGCCATTTCCTTAAAGGGACATCCTGGTAATTTTCTGACTTGGATGACTTAAAAGATGTAAAAGTCTTTAATCTGTAAATTATTGATTCATAAGCTTCTCTTTCTAATGCTCTATCACTGGCAATTATCTTTTCTAGATTAACCTAAATGACCTGTTAATGACCAAGAACCAGACTAATTATATATGTTGGACCTCAACATATTGGTGGTTTTACTTGTAGAGGAATTTTCATGTGTGGGTTTCAACAATGGAAAATGAGCTTCCTCTTTACCTCTTTTGGCAAAGAGAAAACAATTCTACAATACCTGATTTGCTAGATTTCCATAGTTACCAACTATTACCTGGTGGGGGGAGGCTACCTTTTTAGTTTCTCTCCATTATTTCCTTCGTAATTTATTTTCCCGTGGTTAAAATAGCAGTGTGTCAAGAACTCATAAGCATCAAATAACTTCTTAAGTTTGGGGATATGAATACATATATCATTACCTATATATGTGTATTATTTATAAATCATAGACATACAATCCTATAATCCTTTTATAATATTTTCTCTGAATCCACACTCAGCATAATAGTTCAATCTCCTTCCTCTCAAAATTAATATTTAACTTATCTGAAGTATATATATTTGAACCATACTTTCAGCACCTTGTTGTTTTCTGGTACAACTAAATGAACATTTATATTCGAATCTTTTACTTTTGAATTTTGTCATAATCCCTAATGATTTCTTACAGTACAAAACTATAAATTGCATGAAAATAATCATAAACACATTTACTCCTAGAATTATTATAGA